GATAGAGATGTATAAATGTTCAAAAGGAAAAGGAGACAAGGGAGGCAGCAAAAGGTGAAGGAGGAAAATCACTAGGATAGCAGGGGTAGTGAGTGGAAAACTCTGGAAGTAACTGAAAAGGCTTAATGGGGGCTTGAAAAGTCAGAGTGATAACAGACATAACACAATGGTGATTAATTACATAAAATATTATATATAGCAATGATTGCATAAAAACACAAAGTACATGTACAAAATATGATGTATATGAATGATTACATGGAAACCAATAATTTTTTTTATCAGCCTACAGATAGAATTCTGCCCCAGACCTCAGCCTTCCACAAAGTGCTTTTGATTTTAAGCTCAAATAGATGGTGTAATTGCACTAAGTTGAGCTGCTAGCCAGAAAGATGGAAGTTCTAATCCATCAGCTGCTCTGAAGGAAGAAGATGAAGCTATCTCCTCCCATAAACAATTACAGCTTCAGAAACCAAATGGGTTCTCCTCATGAGTCAGGATTGGCTCAGTAGTGGTGGACTTGATTTTTTTTGTTTGTTTGTTTGTTTGTTTTGCTTTGTGGTCAGGCCTATGCAGGAACCTTAAAGAATAGAAAGATGCATAAAATACTATTCTTGCTGTCAGGATAATCTAGCAAGGGACAAGCCTGGCAAATACAGGGCACAGGCATGCAGACCTTGCTCCCAGAACCCCAGTCTAAGGTGGATGGGCCCTGCTGGAGGAGAAAAAAGAAAGAACTCTAACACAGCTGCCTGTGTTAGACAGAAAATACTTTGCAATTGCCTGAGGGGTCATGGCATCTCCATAGAGATAATGGAGTTGAGATGAGCCTGGAAGGGCTTTTCTGCTGACTTCAGGCAGGTGATAATATCAACGTTGTCATTTTGAAATTGCTGTGTATTATATAGGGAGCTCGGGGTGGCACAGTCTGTAGGGAATTGCTCCGCTAACCCAAAAGCCACACCTCTCAGGCAATTTGAATCTATCCCTGCCTCTAAGGGAGAAAGTTGGGTGATTTCCCTCCCTCTTATTAACAAGCTCAGAAACCTGCTGGAGGGTCAGCTGTGAGTCTGTTCTAACTCAGCAGCAATGCAGAGGTTTTTTTTAATTATGCTGCTGTTGTTAGATGCCTTCGAGCACAACTCCAGCAACCCTATGAACAACAGACCTGAACCCTGTGCCATCCTCATCGACTCTGATACCCTTGAGTCCACTGCTGCAGACTGTGTCGATCCATCTTGTTGAAGGTCTTCCTATCTTTCACTGACCCTCCACCCTTCCAAGCATGATGTCTCTCCAAGGAACAGCCTCTCCTAGCAACATGCCTGAAATATGTGAGATGAAGCTTTGCCTCCAAACGAGCATTCTGGCTGCACTTTCTTCAAGACATACCACAAATATGTTAATGCCATTGGAGATATTAGAAATATCAGGGTGAACTTATGATTTTAAAAATAATCAATTCTTTTCCAGAGACACTATGTAGAGACATTTAAAATGGTCCAGTGTCTGACCTACAGCTGTAGGCTGCCCTACAACACAGCCTCTAACAAAACTAGGCTACCCTGAACCCCTCGTAACAGAATTGTTTACCTTTATTCCAAGAAGCACCAAAATCTGCATGCGGTATGTGCACAGGCCAACTTCGAAGGGTTCGTGCTGTGAGCCCTAAAGTTCTTATGAGGTTGTCAGAAACAAAGCCAAAACCAAAACAATATGTCAACAACAGTTATGGTGGTTCCACGTATGCTAAATGGGTCCATGACAGGATGGAGCAGGCTTTCCTTATCAAGGGACAGAAAATTGCTGTGAAAGTATTGAATGCACAAGCACAAAGTCAGAAAGCTAAATTTTTAAAATGGTGCCTCTTTAAATAATAAAAACATCATATGAAAAAACAATCAGTTGCCTCCTTCTGCTCACTGAATGGGAGCTCTGGTGGCTTAATGGTAAAGAATTGTGCTGCCAACACAAAGATACATGGTTCTAATCCACTGGCTGCTCCAAGAGAGAAAGATGGACAGTCTCTTTCTTTTTTTTCTTTTTTTTTTTTTATTTGACAGTCTCTTTCTTACAATTTACTGCCTCTGAAAACATGCTATAGAGTCAGCTATGAGTTGGTTCCAGTTTGACGGTACACAACACTTCTACTCACAGAGTGAACAGTGAGGCAGTGGCACTCTATTGACATTAAATACCTCTAATTTTTAAATCTTTATTTCTAAACACCATTTCACACTAAAAACAAATAACCTCCAGGGCTCCTGAGAGAAATGCTTACTTCTAGATCAGGGCCAGGAAAGGTAGTAAGGACAATCAGAGACAACCTGAAAGATGCGTAATGAACGAGAATGATCAAAGAAGAATCAGTGTCTGAGTCGTGGTGTTGGAGAAGAGTATTGACTATCCCATGGACTTCAGAAAAACCAAGTCTGTCTTGGCAGAAGTATAGCCAGAATGTTCCTTAGAGGCAAGGATGGTAAAACTTGTTCCTAACATATTTTGGGAATGTTGTCAGGAGGGGCTGGTCTTTGGGAAAAGATGTCATGGTGGGGAAAGTTCAGGGTCAAAGGAAGAAAGGAAAACCCTAAACAAGATGGATTGATACACACACTGTAACAGTGTGCTTGAGCATATCAGAGATCTGTTGTTCATAGGGTGAATTGTTCATAGGCTGTGAGTTATAGTCAACTTGATGGCCCATAACAACATAACAACTAGACACTGTGTTAGAAAACAAAGAAGCACCTAATCATTATTGAGCATAAAGAAACAAGCAAAATGGCTTCAGTAGGGAAGGAAATCAGGCAGGGCCAAAATGTGGGGCATTTTTACTATCCTGGTCTCTTTAAAAGAGACTATAAAATATATATATATGCCAAATGCAATGTATAAACCTTATAACCCATATTTTTCTTTTTATTTTATACTGACTTATTTACAAAGTTCGAATACATTGTTTTTCACACAAAATCTTTCCTATTTCCTTCATCCCGCCATCAAATTATACAACCCTTTAATTAACACTCCACCCCCCCCCCATCTATCCTCACCCCTCTGCTTCTACCCTCGACCCTTGGATCTTCATACTCGTTCTACAATAATGGTTTTATACAGTATTTGTCCTTGTGGGAGCATAATGCTCTCCACTCCCTCCCAAGTTAGGTAGCAATTTATAAAATCATTCCTTCTTTGTGCTGCACAGTATTCCATTGTGCGAATGTATCACAACTTCTCAATCCATTCGTTTGTGGTTGGACATCTGGTCTGTTTCCATGATTTAGCAATGGTGAATAATGCTACTATAAACACTGGTGTACAAGTCTCCATTTGTGCTTCATTTCTCATTTTCATGGGGTATATTCCAAGCAATGAAATAGCTGGGTTATATGGAATTACTGTGTTCAGCTTTTTGAGGAAGCACCAAACTGCCTTCTAGAGTGGTTGTACCACTTTACAGTCCCACCAACAACGTGTAAGGGTTCTTATCTTGTCATATCCTCTCTAACATTTATTACTTGCTGTCCTGTTAAACTTTCCCATAGCTACTGGAGTGAGATGGTATCTCATTGTGGTTTTGATTTGCATCTCTCTTATTGCCAGTGATTTGAAGCATCTGAATGTCTTCCTCTGTGAAAGTTCTTTCCATGTCTTTTGCTCATTTTGTAATTGGGTTATCAGTTTTTTGTTATGGAGGCCCAGGAGTATTCTATAAACTTTCATTATGAGACTCTTATTTTATGTGCACATGGATTTAATTTTTAGAAGTTCCCATTCATTAATTTCATCCTCTACATATCATGCATTTCTGATTGTATTTAATATGGCAGTCTCTTTATACCATAGACTAGGCCTTCCTAAGGTTGCTCCGAGTTTGTCCTTTATGAACTTTATTATAAACCCAGTTTTTAAAAAGACAGGACAACTTTAAAAACACTCAGAGATCATTGGGAGATTTAGATTTGGATTGAGTGTTAGGTAATATGAAACTACTACTACTGATTTTCTCAGGTATGAAAATAGTGTTGTTATGAGAGGAATGTCTTATTTTAGGAGATGCATAATGGGGTTTTTGTAGAAAAAGGCAGGTAAGTGGGGAGGACAAGGACAGAGATACGAAAGAGATGTCTCAGAGTCTCTGGTTTGGGCAGATAGTCCAGGAGATGACAAGCCCTCACGTTCTCATCTAGAAAAACGAACATCATTATCTTAACAATGTCCTCTGAGAGGACTGGTCCTGGCTCACCCCTTGGGGTATCAGTGGGAGAGGGCTGGGGCTGACATGCTCTTGCTGTGCAACCCCAGCTGGCTGTGAGCTCTTTCTTTTTGTGGGCTTCCAGTCTTCCCCTCAGCCAGCGCTCTCAGCCAGCACAGGGAAGCAGCGCCAGCTCCTGGTTTCTATAGCGACCAGGGCACAAAAGGAGAAGTACAGAGATGGAAGGAAATAACAAAGGGGGGAACGAACAGCACAGATATTTGACACATCAGGAATTCAGGAGGGGCGTCATATGACCTAGTTTTAGAGCCGTGGGAAGCATTTCTGGCACTCACACTTGACTGTTTTGTTTTTCATAGTCTCTTTACCTCGAGCTATAAAAGGAGGTGACAGAATGTAGCATGTTCCCCGTGAAAGGCTAATAATGAAACACAACTGTAAGGATAAAGGAGCTGGGAGGACCCGGGGAACACCTGCGCCTCATTGCTGGCCTCCCCATCAGTCCCTGACACCTCCCTCTTCCTAGATGTTGGGGCTACATGAGGGGATTTTGCAGTGGACACAGCATGGTTGACACTCCCAAGCTGTGTGATTTCGGGCAGTTTCCTTGACCACCTGGGGCTCTAGCGTCCTAGTTCATACAATGGATTGGTGATTATGTATTCTAAGTACCTGATGGATTGGTGGGCCTCAACTGGCCACGCTGGTCAGGAGCCACTGGGCTTGGGCAGGGTCAACACTTAGTAATGCTGCCCCTTATCATTTTTCTCTCATTCTCTTTTAGTTGGCCATGGACAGAGTGAAGGGGAGAGGATGGTGGTGTCTGACTTCCAGGTTTTCGTCAGAGATGTGCTCCAGCACATAGATAGCGTGCAGAAAGACTACCCCAAGCTCCCCATCTTCCTTCTGGGCCACTCCATGGTAAGCAGATCACAGGGGGCCCCTGCCTGCCCAGCCCTGTGGGGTGGGAGAGTGAGCACCATGTGGGAGTTGGGGCCCAAAACCCTGGGAGTCTGCAAGCAATATAGTGTTTCCGGAGCTTGCTGGGCTCGGGTCCTGAAGAGAGGCCGTGGAGGGTGCCAGAGAAGGGCCTATTCATTCCTCAGGGCTCCCAGCCACGAGCCAGCCAGCCAGGCCTTGCTGCCCTTCTGAGGCACTTGCAGGCCCACTGGGAAACAGAACCATTTCCACACCTCTGCCCTCAGGCTCTTCCACCCTGAGGCTGCTGGGGCTCCTCCGCTTCCTGCAGAGACGCTTCTCCCAGGGCCAGCCTCCTCCTGGTTATGAGACCCCCACGGACTGCCAAAACCTGTCTTTTAGGACTACACGGGAACAGGGAGGGGATGAAACCAGTCCCTGAATGTTACTTGAAACTCTTAATTTTTAGAGGTATAAAATCCTCTAATCTTTTGAAAAAGGATTCTCAACGAGCAGCCCCAGGCTGGGTCCCAACAAGGATGCTGAACCCACCAGTATCCTTAACCATTTGAATGCCAGGGGATGACCCGCTAGGACAGGCCTCCTGCCGCGTTTTATCAGACCCTGGCTCTGATGGTGTTCTCAAGGGATACACCTGTTCTCAGTTGCTGGCTGAAAGGTTGGAAGTTTTTTTAATCTACCTAGAAATCCCTGAAAAGAAAAGCCTGGTGATCTCCTTCAAAAAGTCAGCCTGTGATCGCTCTGAAGAGCATGGTTCTGCTCTGACACCTGTGGCATCAGAGAGAACTGACTTCAGGAGAACGGATGATTTTTTTCCCTTGTTTGGTTTGGTTTCTCACAGGCCTGACCCTGTGAGTACTTGAGACTTCAATCCTCAGATTAACAGTCATCCCCATTTTACTAAAGAAACAGGCCTTGTCGCTCCATCCTGAGCCGCAAACTTATTTCTCTTAGAACCTCCATTTCTGAGATCTTTCTACACACCAGAGCGGGGGATGGTTAGCAATCTCTTCTTGTAATCAGATTACCAAAAAGGCTTGCAGTAAGGCCTGAATTGGGGGCCTGCCAGCTTTTGGCTTGAAATGAAGCAAGAATGTGGTGTTGTTTAACTCGCAGCCCACAACCAGGAACCTTATTTATATCTCTCTGAAACATTTCCTCTTGGAAAACTCAGAGCAAAAACATTTGTAATGAAATAATTGCAGATCTAGTTTATCCAACACGAGACGGTTTCCGGTCCAAGGTGGGCTCTTCAGGGCTCCGGGCCAGGGCGAGAGCGATACACATGCTGTGTCTCCAGGCAGCTCTGCCGTTTTACCTTCCAGGGAGGTGCCATCGCCATCCTCACGGCCGTGGAGAAGCCAGGCCTCTTCTCAGGCATGGTCCTCATCTCACCCTTGGTCCTCGCCAGTCCAGAGTCGGCAACAACTTTCAAGGTAAGGGGGTGTCTCGTTTGGTGAGACTGCCACAGATCCCCTGTGTCTCGGGAGCTGCATTGTGGGTGAGAACTGGCTAGAGGGATTCAATCTGTACTTGACTTCAAGCTCTGTTTTATTAACATTGGGGCAAATATCAACTATCCCAATGGCCACTGGAAGCTAATAATTTCTAATAATGTGAGAGCTGGGTTTTTGTTGTTTCTGGTTTTTCATCCAAAGAGAAAATGAGTTCCTGAATGTGCTTGTTTTACACTGGTGAATTTTAAAAGGGAAAAAGAGTCACACATGCTTTGATCCTACAAAGTAGCCTTTTGTTCATGAGTCAGATGCAAGGCTTGAGCTGTTTTTCACGGACTATCTGCCAGTTTCAGGAAGATGTCACCAGGAGGGGAGTGAGGCAATTTGTCATTGCCACAGTTTTCCTTGTTGGACTCTCCCAGAGCATTTCACCTCTAACAAACATATTTTCCCTTGGGTGTGAAGTTAACAAAATCAAGCATGTGAGTGAGTGGAACTGAATTCTGGTACTGGAACTTTGAGCTAGTTTCACAGGGCAAGTGAGCCAACTATCAACTAGACACAAATAGGCCTCCTCTCCCTGGGAAAAGGACTGATGCCGTAGCCTCAGAGAAGCCCTCAGTGAAGACTAGAGTGTGTCACTAGGGTGTGTTGAGACCAGTGAGATGGAGAATCCCCACTCCTCTGACACCAGGTTGTGTCCTTTCTCACCTTGACACTGGACAGAGGATGCTGATGCCCCAAACCAGTTCTTGGGGTTCTCAGGGAGACCCTGGAGGGGGTGTCATAGTGCAGTGTACATTGGGAGCAATACTCAACTATTCTGGGATGCATCCTTACTTCTCCTGAACTTGCCTCATGTGACAAATGGACCATTTGAGCAATAGCATTAAGCCTTCAGCCTCTACAGTATTGTTCTCAGAACCCAAATTATGAAACACAGTACAAGGATAAAACCTTGTAAAAAGTGCCCTAAATGTGTTTTCTACAAACAAGGAGGGATCTCTGTTTGGTCTAGTGGTAAAGAGTGTACTGCCATCTCAAAGGTACGTAGTTCGAATCCACTAGCTGCTCTATGGGATAGTCAGTCTCCTCCCATGTGGTTTATAGCCTCTGAAAACCTGCTGAAGAGTCAGCTATGAGTCTGTTCAAACTCAACACAGTTAACAACAAATAGGTATAGATTTGATCTTGGGTTTCTAAGGGTGGGTGTGATGACGAGAGTAAGCTTTCAGTAGGTGTAGAAAATCTCACTGATGTGGAATAAAGGTGGTGTTAGATGTCATCAAGTGAACTAAACTCCGCAACCCTTTGAACAACAGAGCTGCACCTTGCCCATCACACTCACGGTGTCTGACGTGCACGGGGCCCACTGTAGTCACTATGTCCATCCATCCCGTCAAAGGTCTTCCACGTCGTCACTGACCTCTGCTTTTCCCAGCATGATGAGAAGCTGAGAAAAGAAAACCCTCAATTTGTCTGGTTTTTGTCTCTCTGCTAGCTCAAGCAGAAACATTTATTTTATTAGCTAAAGAGTAAACAAAATAAATTGGGGATGGGGAGAAAAGAAAAAGAAAAGATAAAGAGATTGGCTTTCGTTCCATGTTAAAAAACCACCAGTGACTATTGTGGGGGTTTTTTGGGGGGGTGTTAACTGTGATTTTAATGAAAATTTACAGAAAAGTTGGGTTTTCATTCATTCATTGTTACATATTTCCCTCCCTATGCCCCCACTTCAATTTTTCAAAAGAAAATATTTATTCACTTTTGCATCATTTTCTCCCTTCCCCAGTCCACTTTACTATACACCTTTAATTCTGGACTGTACCAGTGACTTCTTGAAATCCTTTTACTATCATTGATAAAGGGATCCCAGATGATTTAGTGGTAAGGATTTGTGCTGCCAACCCAAAGGCATGCAGTTCGAATCCACCAGCTGCTCTGCAGGAGAAAAATAAGCTGTCTTCTCCCGTGCAATTACTGCCTCTCAGAACTCACTGTAGGGTCAGCTGTGAGTTAGTTACGACTAAATAGTACATAAAAATGCAGAGGACAACAGAAGAGACCTCAGTCATTTAATCGTGCCTTGGTGGTGGAGTGTGTTATATGTTGGCTGCAAGCCAAAAGGTCTGGGATTTGCTTCACTGGGGAAAGGTTAAGTATCTGTTCTCTGTAAGACTGACTACCTCAGAAAGCTGGTAGAGAGTTCCTGTAAGTCAGAACTGACCCAATGGCAGCGGGCTTGGTTTGATTTTTCTCATGGTGAACAATGATACTTATTTAAATGGGTCAAGGGAAACTGACTTGCCTCATTTTTCCTCTAGTGACTGTGATTATATGATACAAGGGCACTTCTCACCTGAACAGAACAAACATGGGCAGGATCCTAAAGGAAAGTGGACTTCCCATTGCCCTCTAATGTGCTCTGACTGTTGATAGGCTCAGGAGTGCTGGGCAGTCCTCTACGTTTATGCGTTAGCTCACTTCACACCCAGTGTTGCCCGAGGAACAAGTCAACTTACATTTTATAGCTGTGGAAAGTGAGATTGAGAAGAGAGACATGGCAGAATCAATAACATGTGGAATAGGTTTGCATCTAGGTCTAAACTTCCCCATCTAGAATACCTTCTCATCAAAGTAAAGCCAGGAACCTACGACTTTCCAGATAAAATGGAAGAAGAGTCAGGAAGCTAGTCCTGAGCTAAGGTAGCATAGTTTCCTCCCAGAGTCCTTGGAGGCATCTGCACTGATTGGCTGCCATGGAATGCCAGGCCAGACCACCAAAGTGAGCTTCAAAAGCCTTGTCATAGCAGAAGTCAGCTAGACTTGGGGGAATGCAGGCCTACCATTATTAAGGAACCAAGACAAATTAGATTCCCTTTGTCTCTAGATTTCTAGCCTCCTAAATAGTGAGGTTGTGTTTGCTATAGCAGTATACTTAATAGTGTTTCTGTTATAACATGCTGTCTTTTGTAACAGGAAAGTGAGACAAACATGAACTTCTTGTTCCTATTTTTCATGCAAATGGGAACTTTGTCTTTTGCATTTTTGTTTGTTTTGTCTTGGTAGGACTTTTGTTTTCTTTGCTTAGCCACATATCTGGATGCCCAGTCCTATCAGGAACTAGCCAGGGTTCCTGGAATGGGGGTAGATCAGGGTTTAGATAAAGTTCCTTGCTGGCCAACTTGGGTGGTTTTCATTGTCCGAGACCACAAACTTCCTAAAGGGAGAGATATCTGGAGATACCTTTTTTCTCTCCTTCTCTATATGAGAAAACTGAGGCTGAAAGAGGAATTCGGAAGACCTCTACCTGACCAACTGACTAGAAGAGAGTTCTATTTATTCCCATTTCCATAAAAGGTGTCCCAACAGAATATGAAAATTATTGAACAGTATCATTAATATCATATGCCAGCAAAATATTGCTGAAGATCATCCCAAAATGACTAGAGCAGTAGATTGACAGAGTACTGCCAGGAATTCAAGCTAGATTTAGAAGAGGCCATGGCTCAGGGATATCACTGCTGATGTCAGATGGATCCTGGCTGAAAGCAAAGAATGCCAGGAGAATGTCTATTTGTGTGCTTTATTGATTGTGCAAAGGCATTCAACTTTATGGATCATAACAAATCATGGCTAACACTGGGAAGAAGCATGGGATTTTCAGAACACTTAACTATGCTCATGCAAAACATATTAGCTAGACAAAGAAGTTGTTGTCTGCACAAAGAAAGGTTTTGTTTTGCATGGTGTAAAATCAAGAAAGTGTGCATTAAGGCTGTATCCCTTCTCCATACCTATTCAGACTGTATCTTGAGAAACTCACTAGAGAAGCTACACTTTATAAAGAAGAATATGAAATCAGAGTAGGAGGAGGATTCATCACCAACCTGTGTTATACAGATGGCACAGCCTTGCTTGCTGAAAGAGAGGGAGATTGAAACATGTGCTGCATAAGATCAAAGACTACAGCCTTCAATATGGATTACATCTCACCATCAAGAAAATAGAAATCCTCACTACCAGGCTAATAGGAAACATCATGATGGATGGAGAAAAGATTGAAGTTATCACAACAATTTCATCTTACTTGTATCCACAATCAATGCTGTTGATACCAGCACTCGAGAAATCAAGACTTGTTGAATCGGGGAAATCTACAATCAAAGACCTCTCCAAGGTGCTAAGGAGCAATACTGTCAGTTTAAAGACTAGGGTGCACTTGATTAATCCATAGTCTTTTAGTTAGTTACTTGCTCTGCATCTGAAAAATGGACAGTAAATAAAGATGCCAGGAGAAGACTCAAGGCCTTTGAGCTGTGGTATTGGAAAAGATCACTGAATAAGTCCTGGGCTACCAAAGGAACAAACAAATATGTCTTGGAGAAAGGGCAACCTGGGTGCTCCTTAGAGGCAAGAATTTTGAAACTTTGTGTCACATACATTGGGCATGTTGGTAGAGGGGGGCAGTCATTGGAAAAAGGAATCATACTTGGAAAGATGGAGGACCAGGAATGACAAGAAGCTTTTCAACAAGATAAATGGAGACAGTGACTGTAACAATGGGCTTGAATATATCAAAGAAGATGAGAATAGTACAGCATGAGGAAATGTTCAGATCCATTGTTCTTAGGGTTGCTATGAGTTATAGTTGACCCAGCAACACCTCACAACAACTTGGGCCCCAGTATCAGTAGGTGGAAGAACAGAATATTGAATACTGATCTGAATTTGTGGCCAGTGCTTGGTCAGTCAGCCCATTCAATAGCTTGTTGTATAGCTTCTCATATATACGAGAATAGCTTCAAAAACACAGAATTAAATTTCCAATTCTCATGGTCTCACAACTTCTTTAAGCCGTGAAAGTTGAATGGACCCCTGAATTTAATGCCCTGATAACCATCTTTCATTCTTAAACCAAAAATATCCCCTGAAATCTCCCAATCAAACAATAAATTAGCTTTCCTAGCAAAGCATGT